TTTTTAATTACCAACTAGAAACAACAACAACAAAAGCTAGCATCACGCAAGTCTGCAGGCTCACAGTGCATTTCTGTAGCCACAATTGGTCCTCTGATTACAGCTGGCTATACTGTACCAAGAATGCCTCATAATAGCAGTAGGAAAGACAAACTTTAGTAAAAACCTGATGACAGAGTTAGTGAAACTGATGACAGTCACTGAAAGCAAAAAACACATTCACCATACTGTGAAAACCAATCCTTGAAAGGAGTATACAACTATGCTTCTTTTATCGGATTTCACAAGCAAGAACGCAACAGAAAGGTTTACTCCGTTCAAATTGAAAGCTTCTATCCTGGGAGTCAGCTACATCTCTTTGTGTGCAACTGCAGACATCTACCAGGGATCTTTGTATCAGACTCGCCGTGCATTTCACACTGATATTCCTAGCAGTTTGTTAGAAAACAACCACTGCCATCAGCAGAATGTGGTGCTGTTATATCATACCTTCTGGTAAACTATAGAGCACACGAGGTCTTTAACAGCAGAGAGGGACAGGTCCTGAGCTTCAATGGTGACAGTCTCCCGCGTGAGACCAATCTGCAGAAGGAATGAGACCCCATGCATAGAGCCCCGGGAGTTGGTGAGGCTCTGTGTGCTGAAACTGCCATTGGAGAGGCGGCTGGAGAGTCCCGACAGGGGACTCGAAGACAAACTTGGGGTTTGTGGTGCAGCAGCATGACATGTGGGCGGGGAAAACTTCTGTAAGGATGGGGGAGAAGAGTCGTTTGCTGACATCTGACTTGATTTAAACTGCCGAGATCTCCCTAGTAGTCAAATTCTAAGAAAAATGTGGTCAGTTCTTGGTTTGAAATTAAAACAAGGATAATCTAACCTTCCCTTTCTTCGTTCAGTAAAATGCCCCTGACCAGTAAAACTTGTTCATCTTCCCTTTCATTATGTGCAAGCCAGAAGCTGGAAGTTGCTTCAATTTAAAGGTTCTCTTTCCACAGATCAGCCACAATCAGCTGATCAGAAGCAGACTGCTTTCCTTTAGCACCAGGTCCAGACAACAGGGGCTTACATAAAGGCCGCAGAGAAATACACCAGTTCTGTTGTTTTATACTTGTCCTTCATTTTTGTGTTAAAAATAAAAAGTAAAAAAAAAGCTGGAAACGCAGATGGAAATAAATGTTGGTCATTCATTAACAGCGTTCTCTCTCATCTAACCCCACAGCCTGTATGCTAAATGCAAATCCATCTTCATGCAGATAGTCCTTTAGAATGAAAAAAAGAAAAAGAGAAGGGTATCCTTAGGCAACAACAGAAGTCCACGTGTCTGACAAATCTCCTCCTTCTTCAGAAGATGTCTGAATTCACAGGACGTGGTCAACTCGGAGACCAGCAAAGGTATCCAACTTCATCTTCATAAAATATTTTAGCTCATGAAACACAGGAGCAGAATTTCTGAAGACACAAACACATTAAATGTAATCTCTAAATTCACCCAGATAACCTCCAGCATTTTGAAACGCTGCACTCTGCCTGTGGGGAAAAAGATACAGTTATTTCACATGAAATGCAGACAGTTGCTTTGCCATTAACTCAACTCTGCTTTCAAGCAGAAGAATCACTGATTCCATTTGCTCAAATACAGGGTAAATTAGTAACATTTTCTACTTAAAACTTGATTTCAAGTCTTTTTATACTGTGTGATATGCAAAACAAACCAGATTTCATGCTGTCCAATACATTGCTACATCTTTTAATAAACAGCAATTTAAAACCATAGAATGGTTTGGGTTGGAAGGACTTTTAAAATCACTTAGTTCCAGCCCCCCTGCTATAGGCAGGGACACCTCCCTCTAGTCCAGGTTGCTCACAGCCCCATCCAGTCTGCTCTTGAATGCTTCCAGGAAAGGGGCATCCACAACCTCTCTGGGCAACCTGTTCCAGTGTCTCATCACTCTCACAGGAATAAAGAATTTATTCCTAATATCTAGTCTAAATCTACCCTCTTTCAGCTTAAAACCATTTCCCCTTGTCGTATCACTACATGCCCTTATAAAAAGTCCCTCCCCAGCTTTTCTGTAGGCCCCTTCAGGTACTGAAATTTAGCAGAGCAGAAAAGAACTAAATAAAAAAAGAAGGGGGATGGGGAGAGTAAACCAAAGCTCTGCTCTGTAGCATATGCAGAGCCGCTGGTAGGTAGGAAAGCAAATTTGTTAAATGCATAGAAACATCCAAAAAATGTAATGCCAAGGCTCCGAAAACCTGTATGTAGAATGTACTCAGGATACATTCTTATACTTCTATTCAAAACAACTTCAAAACATCCTACACAAACTCTAACTACAGGAGAATTTGCATAGTACGCAATAGAACATCAGTTCATTTGAAAAATAACACTTAATGCCTACATGTGTGATTACAATGGAATTCTGCCACAACCTTTTAAAGTCAATCACTTTATGACTGAATCCTGGATTTTTGTGATTTTTCATGACCACAGACAGCAACTACTCGCTACAGGACGCTGTACCATCTGATTCAGCACTTCGAGCACTGGCAAGTTCAGTGCTAAAACATCTGCATGCAACCATATCTGGACCCAAGCAGATCTCCTGTATTACAGAATGAAGTGAGTCACATTTGCACTTCAATACATCTGGCAGTGCATTGATTTTTAGCTATAGGATCAACTATTTAAACACCATCATATTTACCCTTTAGTGCGAGGTCATGTCAGATGTTTCTAACTACTCTCTGTTCTCAATTATTTTTGCAGAGTTGAGTCAAAACAGGTTAATTAACCAGGACTGTGAATCACACTTATTAACTTGATTCTAGCCAAATGTGACCGAGATGCTTGAAAGTAAGCAGCCTCAGATTGCCCATGCAACGTCTTCAAGGGAAAAAATTATCTGTATATGGTCCAAATACATAGACATTATGTAGCACTCAGTTTTTAAAGAAGCACAGAACCATATGGGACTCAAAAATTAGTAAGCTTAGATATTTTTCATTCCCTCAAGTACAAAAACTAATTAACAAAAATAAATAAATCAGAGACATTTTTACTAGAATTAAATGAAATTTTTGAATAGGAGTGCCAGTTTATCACATGCAATATAAACTATCTCAGAAGGAAAACCAACTTTTTACACAGGGTGATAGCGATAGGACGAGAGGAAACGGTTTTAAACTAGACGAGGGGAGATTTAGTAATTAGATGTCGGACAGAAATTGTTCACTTAGAGGTTGGTGAGGCCCTGGCACAGCTGCCCAGAGAAGCTGTGGGTACCCCATCCCTGGAGGTGTTCAAGGCTGGCTTGGATGGGGCTTTGGGCAGCTGGTGGGGGGCAGCCCTGCCCATGGCTCAGGGTGGGGCTGGCTGGGTCATGAGGCTCCTTCCTACTGCAACTATTCTGTGGTTCTATTCTCACTAGACTTATGGCTGATAACTGGTAAAGGACTTCATTCAACAGATGATGTACTCCTCCTATTCACCAACATAACAGCTCAACAACTCACTGCCTCTGCTTTCTAATAGGTGCGTAAGGAAGCAGGGCTACACAAACTGCCGTACTGGAAGGAGACGATGATCAAAATTCCTAATGGGGCTACAAAAGAGAGAATAAATTGCTACCTTTTGGATTTCCAGCACAGGTATCTACAAAGTAAGACCTACAAACACCTGGGAGCTGCTGGACTGTTGGCAAAAACACCTGAAAGGGCCACTTCTGCCCTACGGAGTACACTAACTAGGGTACCCACGAAGGACATAAACAGGAAGAGAATAAGGGCAGCAGCTGTAACACCGAGGTGCTTTTCTCAACAAAGCAGCTTCACAAGCCTTCAGTTTTGCTTGAAGATGACTTACTTTTGTGTTCGCAGACACCAAAGACAGAAAACGCCAAGCCTTAGGGGTAGAACCGAAAACGAGCAATGGCTAACCAACATCATAGGAAACGGGAAAGCTGTACGACGTGAGAGGATCTGCTCTGGGAAATCAGTGCAAACGCGCAGCCAAAGCTCAGCTATACCTGCCTCGCTGGAACGCTACCTATATTTACCACAAGCGCGATGCATTTGCACGCACAAAGCCCTTCCACACGGCGCTCACTGGCGCTAAGCCTGTCACGGAGCTCATTCCGCTACCGCACAGGACGGGATGGATCCTTCGAAGGAAGGAAACCCGCAGGCGCTGCCCGCTCGGTAGAAGCGAAGCACGGAGCCGCTCCGGGACGCCAACGCAGACGCGTTCCGCAGCGCACCGACAGGGCGCCGCGCGATCCGCCGCTCGGAGATGATGCGGCCTCGACCCCGCACGCGGCGCCGTCCCGCCTGGGGCCGCCCGCAGCCCCCGGGCAGGGCCGTGCCGGCGGCGGCGCCGCTCCCGCGGCGACAGGAACTTTCCGAGTCCGCCTCCGCCCTTCCCCGGCACGGCGGCCCCGCTCCCGGCTTCCCCGCCCGCCCGCTGCTCCCGGCGCCTCGCGCCCCCCGCCCTCACCTGCCGCGCCGCCGCACGCCGCCCGCCCGAGGGCCGCAGCCGCCCCGCGCGCATCTCCCCCGCCGCGCAGCCCCGCGGCTCCCCGCACGCACCAGAGCCGCCCGGGCCGGGCTGCGGCGCGGGGGCTGCCGGGAGCTGTAGTCCCGCGACCCCGCCGCGGTCCGGGGCGCCGCGAGGAGGCGAACTACAGCCCCCGGCGCGCCCCCCGACGGCGGGGCGCAGCCGGCGAGACGGCGCGTGCGCGCTCCTGCCCGACGGAGTTTCCGTTACTTTCCTCGCCCGTGGCGGTGGCAGCCCGGAGTCGCTAACGGGACGGCTCGCCCCCCGCGCCTCGCCTCGCCTCACCTCCGCAGCCCCCTCGGCTCCCACCGTGCCGGAGTACGGCCCCGCGCCGTCCGGCCCCCGTGGCGTTCTCACGGCTCCTCCCGCCGCAGCTCGAG